TACAAGATGTGCTAGAATATCCTAAATGCGATTAAATTCATAATCCATACTTAATATTATAAATGTGAAAGTGTGTTTGCTTGTTCGTCTTTCTTTCACGTCGAAACCGATTAACGGATTGGTGGGATTTTTTGTGTGGAGATAGTTGAAAGGCTGGAGAGTGACGTAGGCTTTTTACCACGGGAGATTATCTCATTCCCATGGGGAAACACGTTATAATACAACCCAAAAAATATTTATGATCAGAATTACTTGAAACTTGGTATTAATGCTCTTCAATACAATTAAATAAATACATGTTTTAGCATTTTTCGAAATTCATCCCATAAGCGGTAAAATTTAGCGCGAGCGAAGCCGCGAGTCTGCTAGTAATGTATAATTTTTGATACTACACTTCAATGCCATTAATATAAGTCTTAAAGAACAAAATCGAACCATCCACTTTTTATAAGTCGACAAATTCGTTACTATTTTCTTTTACAATTTTATACACGTTTCTTTACAAGCATAAGTCCATTTTTTTCTCACTACTGTAAAAGAAAAAAAGGTTCATCTCAAACATCAAAGGGAGGCGAGTAACTTACAAATTTCTAGAAAACTTTTAGTTTAGTTTTTATACAGATAATTTAGATCCGATATCGATTTAAAGTTTTTTCGAATTTATCTCCATAAGTTTTTCGCGAAGTTGCGAAAGCTTTTTAACTTAAATTACTATTTGGAATACGAGTTGGATTATTCATTTTAAAATTTCTGAGTATTTATTAATAATATTACTTTTTATACTATAAATAGGTAGTACATCTCAACAGTAAAGATCGTCAGTTACTGAACAAAAAAAAAGAAAACGGTTGAATTGAATGCCCCTAACGGGACTCGAACCCGCGACCGCTGGCACAGCAAGTAGGGTATAATACAAACAGCCAAACGTGTCGTCAAAAATATCTCTGTACACTTGTATCTACACAATCTGCCAGATACAATACTCGTACATAATTTTATGACCAAAATAAATATCTTCTTCAAGCGCGATTTGTGATCTCTCGTTGCGTTGAGACATACTTCGATCGACAGTGGTATTGTTGATTAAAAGAGACATTATGTTCTATAAGCAATTATCAAAACTATAACAGGAATAAGGTCTGAGGCACTACGCCGTTATTTGGGGGCCCATTTAGTGGGTCACCTAAGGTTCAATATTAAGACTGTTGAGAAGGTAGACGACCGTTACTCCCATCCAATGATCCACTCCGTTCGGTTTTATATATTTTCTATAGCTCCTACGCGTTGGCTCGCAAGTATCATTGGGCTATTCCCTATGGGTTTTTCAGAGATGGATCACGTCTGATGCGTAACATCAAACAAATTTTAATCTCTTAAGGCTCTACGTGTTGGACCTGAGCCTCCACGCAAATCTTCCGAAGGCTACTACCTACTTTTAGACCGTAAAATCTAAAGAAATCCAAATAAAACAAGCTTATATGTATATGTTGACATAATAATATGCGTACAAATTGTATTATAATAATTGGTGAATAAAGCCAGATCTTCTAGATAGTATTATTGTTAAAACCGGTCAGCCTTTAATTAAAGGAACTCTGGCATAACAAATTATTTAATTAGCTTCTTTGTTTATTGTTTTGTGCTTACATTTGAAATGCCTTTATTATTTTTGTATACAGCTTTAACAGTTGTTATCTACCTTGTATTAGTTGTTTTTGTTTACGATAGTAAATTCATTTGTAAAACACTATTCGTAAAGAATAATAGTTGATTAAAATAATATCACCATGGAAGAAGAATATTATTTGTAAGTAAATATAATGATAAATACAATTAATATTCTACTTTGCTCAAGGCTTTGTTTAGTGTTTTAGAACTTTATGAATTACATCTAGATGTAATCCATACAACTGGAGTATATAAGAATATTAAGGGCAAGCAAGGAGTCTTAGTAATAGGTAAAGTTTGTGAGTTTGTGACGTAGGGGTAATCTCTGAATCTACTGAACCGATTTAAATGAAATTTTGTAAGAAGATAATTTGATATCCTATAAAGGACATAGGATAGGGGGTTAAAATGGGGATGAAAGTTTGTATGGGGAATCAAGCTAGGGAAGAACCCGAGCGAAGCGAGGGTGTCACTGGTAGTTTATACTTTTAGCTTTTCATATTTCTGCGTCTGGAGATATGAATATATAATATGACTGACTTTATTTAGAAACTGCTAAGCAATATATTTTTATCTAAGCCTAAACTGCATTTTACTTAGAATTTATATTTGTTAGTAGCGACTTACTCTTGCCCGCCAAAGGGTAAGTTTTGGTTTTTTGAGCCCATTTTTTTTTTCTATGTCATTACCTATCTTCCAGTGAATGTCCCGTCAAAATCAGTCCATCCGTTTCGGAGTTTAGTTGGAACAAACATACAGACAGACAGACAAAAATTATAAAAATTGTGAGAAACGAGAAGAGAAGTACCGTATTTAATATGTATTTAGTAAAAAGCTTTTGTTTCGTCATTACATACAGACAATTCAATTTCATTTATTAATTGTATATGTACATTGATATTTTAATTTTTTATTATAAAATACAATCATTTTCCAGACAGCCTCCGTTAAATCAGATGTTTTATCGCTTTATGGCCAATATGATGAGTCTATCTACTGTTGGCAACCGCCAGATGTGGGGTTATGAGACGTATCCTAAAATATATATCATTATTAATATAGTTACAGTCACGTTTGGACCAATTATCATAGTATCTCAATTATTTTACCTATACTTTAATTATTCTGACCTGAAATTTGATATTTTGGGAGTCATATTTTCAATTTTTCCAGCAACTTGCTTAGCCGTTGTAAGTTGCATGTATATTTTTTATTAGTATTTTGTTTCTAATAAAGATCTAAGAAGAGATTTAAGTCTAAGTGTATTTTTATATATTTTTTACTTTTCTAGGTTGACATATATTCTTCTAAGATCAAAAGCTACAGACGAATATCACGTGACTTTTTATCGAAAATCCACATATATAATGTTTACAAATATAATAACAGCGAATTCATAAAAAACGTAAGAACATATTATAATAACATTATAGTAAAATATTCTTATAAATTATAATATTACATTCGATACAGATTAAACATTAATTAGGTACTTATAAAAACCACAGGTTTTTATTTAAACCTAAAAATTTTCAAAATCACATAAAAATTATTTTACATAATCATTATTATGAACTCATTGTGTTCTAGTGAAATTAGAAATACTACAAAGTAACAACGAGTAACGACTTAGTAACTTAGAAAAACGAACATAATTTTAATTTCAGAAATTTTTCGACACGTTTGGCTCAGTTTGTAGTGTACTTGCTGTGCCAGCGGTCGCGGGTTCGAGTCCCTCTGGGGGCATTCATTAGTGTGATGAGCACGAATGTTTATACTCCAGTCATAGGTGTTTATATTTATAATAAGTATTTATTTAAAAGTTATATATGTATAGTGTATCAACTATCTGGTATCCATAACACAAGCCTCGTAGCTTACCGTGGAACTAGATGGTGCTGTGTGTTAAAGTCCCAACATATTATTATTATTTCAGAAACTACTTTTCGTGGAAAGATCTAGCCGCTTCACTTCATTTTATATGATATTTTTTTATATGTTCAACTGGCTCTCGTGGATTGTGATAACAGCGGTGAATAATTATACAAATAAAGAGTTAGTGCATAACCACACAGCTAAGCTTCAAACTTGCGTGTTTTTGTGGTTACCTTTTGATTACAGCTATGATTATCATCGATGGATAGTGATTCATAGTATAAATTGCTACATAGTACTAGCCGGTGAATGTGCTATAATGATTTATCAAAGTATAGGTAATATGTTCATTTACAACTTAATTGGCCATATTGAAATTTTAAAAAACAAAATCAAAACTGAATTTAATGAAGATTTAAGCGATGAAGTAATCCATTCTAAACTTGTTGAAATAATAAAATATCATACCTTTATATGCCAGTAAGTATGAAATTTATGATGTGGTAGAAACAAAAGAATTCACAACAAAATTAATATATAATTTAAGTTTCAACTCAACCTTTTTGCCAGAGTATTTGAAGAAGTTGAAAAGGCTTTTGGAATTAACGTAACCGCTAATTATTTACAAAATATGGTGGGAAATAGTATAGTACTCTACCAACTCACGTTTGGGGTAAGAATTTTACTAACTTTTATAATCATATTCTATAAGGTAATTATGAATTGATTTATTCTTATAAACTAGTGACTCATCCTTGCTCCGCTCGGGTTTATCCCTAATTTTTTTCAATTACCTAAACACAATTGGTTACAGTTTTAAGAGAACTTTTGCATGGGATTGTGTATTTAGTACTTTTTGATCGATGCATTTGTGGATAGGATACAAACGTAAACATAATTCATACTTATTTGAATTTGCTATAGTCTATTGACGCTGATTTGTATAATGAGAACTAAAAAAGTTAATTTTATTATTTATATATTACAATACAAATGTAACATAATGCAATACTTCCTACTACTACGATAAAAGCGTAAATTTTCATGTATATATAATATTATTCCTATGTATATTGTACATTATTACTCTTTCACGCTTAAACGGCTGGATGGACTTAGATGTTTAAATGAAATACACATACATATATTACGTAGACTATAACCTGAAGTAACATATAGGCTATCGGTAGGTACCCAAGAACGAACTTTTGCAAAGCAAAGATAACTCGCTAGTTTTTCATACAATAATCTTATAAGGTTATGGAGGGGTGGTGTGGATAAATAAAGGTTCGAATAATAAAGATTTTTGGCTGAAAAACCCATTACATGTCAGATACTTGCCTGGGAAGCTGCAGGTAGAAATTAGTATGCGGCATTATTTAAAATTATTTAATTAATTTTAAATATACCTATATTTAAAGGGAAAAGAGAATATACTGCAATATGTGACGATGGTAATGGCGTATACAGGAGGACCGATTATGATGTCATTTGTTATTGATGAATTGAGGAAGAAGGTAACGTGTTTATCTTTAGCTCTGATGAATACATCGCTTAGAGATTTAATCCCTCCACGACCGCGGACACGCCGGCGTGTCAGCTAACAATAGATTTCTTAGAATTTTAATTAATTTCTTAGAAATTTACCTGAAGGTGTTAAATTTATCTGTAAAAAAAGCTCGAAAGCTCTTTTTGTAGTTAACAATATAGTATATAACTTTATTATTATGTTTTGTATTAATCTTATCGTATTAACGTTTGTAGGTACATATATATTTTTGATATGTAAATATATTTATTTTATAAGACAGTGGTAGCCCAGTGGTAACGCGGTTACTTGGGAAACCGAGTGAAGCGGGTTTAACTTCCAGGTCTCACACCTGTGATATTTTCATGTGCGAATCATTTCGAACATGATTACCACTTACCTTACAGTGAAGGAAAACAATGTGAGGAAACCTGCATGAAAGAACGTAGTAAGTTTTCGAAAGACATGTGAAGTCCGCCAACCCGCACTTGGCCAGCGTGGTGGACTATGGCCTGATCCCCCTCGTATTGAAGGGAGGCCCGTGCCCAGCAGTGGGACGTTAAAAAGGGCTAAATACAATCCAAAAATATATTTATTCTACTTTTAAAATTTCGTAGGTATTTTTACGGTATAATTTTAATTTTTGTACTAACTACATACATTTTTCACACTTCTCCCTCTTACATACATTGTTTTAGCGATAAGGCCGCCTTTTGTACAGCCCTACAATTCTTTAATTCATTAAAGAGCATTTAGTCGCTTTTTAAGTATATTTTAACACACAATATATTAATTGATTACCAACTGATATGTAAAACTTTAAACGTCTAATTCGTTTAATTTAATTTTCCCATGACATAATATTATTGCTTTATTTTAATTATTACAGACGTATGATTTATCAGATATTTTATATGAAATTCCTTGGGAGAATATGTCAATATCAAATCAAAAAATAGTAATGCTTGTTTTACAAAAAATGCAAATCATAATGGACTTCAAGGCCTTTGGTGGAATACGAGCTGGAATCGCACCTATGATATCGGTCAGTAGGTATAATGTGTAAATGGTAATTTAAATGAGAAATTAAAAAAAAATGTCTTTCTGATTAATTGATAGGTTGAATGAGATCTTAATATAAAATAGCTTATAAACTCTTTTGTCCTGACTCCAGAATCGATCCCATGACATGTAGCCATTAATCCAGTGCCAAATAAACACCTCTTTAGAAAGGCATTAGTTTTTAAAGATAAAAGAGACTAAAAATAAACTAAAACTCATTTAATAAATATTTTAAGACCCATATTTCGAGTTCTCGTATAATCTTAACTAATTTCGAGTATAATTTGTTTTATTTTTTCAGATACTAAAAACCACTTTTTCATACTACGTTATGCTAAAGTCGACTGTGACAGTGGAATGAAACAACTCACTGCTTTTTAAAATTAAATTAAATGCAACCAACCACTCTAAAACGTATTGCACTATATGATATTCATTAAAAAACATTTAAACAACTGATAATAGTTTTTATTTACCTAGTCTCTTTATTTACATGAATGATGATATGATGTCCCCTTGATCAAGTTCGGCCACGACCAGTGAGAGATCAGGCGTAACACCGACAACTTTATGGCTCTTCAAGACACGGGGGTGGAACAACACGAACTTACCAAATCCGAGCTTTTACTGAGACTTTCTTAACAGAAACATTTAATGAATATACGTAGCCCGATCCGGGACTCAAACCCAGGACCCCGGGATCTATACTACAAACATATATATATATATATATCACTATATGTTAGTCATCTAGTCTAGTCAGTTATTCAGTCATCATCAGTTAGGTACATGTATGAGAGAGCCACCGCTTAAAGTGTTTTATAATATTACTAGCATTGCCTGCGGCTCCGCCCGCGTTCAGATGACCAAAAACCAATTTCTTAGGTACAACATATTAGTATACTCTTACATTGCAGTTTTTGTATCTTTTCTCAGAAATGAGATATTTTCCCGCGGTAAAAAATATCCTATAGTTATGTTGGATCGGGGTAACCAGCTATCACCATACCAAATTTCATCAAAATCCCTCCAGTGGTTATTCTGTGATGCGGTAACAGACAGACAGACAAAAATTCTAAAAACTATAGATTCGGCCTCTGTATCGATAATAATGTATATTTCAATAAGATTTTCCTAAAAATATTTAATATACAGATTCGGCTTAGTTACAATTTTATTATATGTATAGATTTATAAAAACATCTACTTTATAAATAATATAAATAATTTGAAACATGCATAATAAAAATATTTATAATAAAATAAATTCAATAACGTTTTTCTTTATTAACAACCTTGTACGTGCTACGTTTTTGAAGTTGCTTTATATTATTAAATTATTAAAAATTAATGAAAAACATCAAACAACAGTGAAGCACCTCAATAAAGAGAAAATAAGCAATTAATTACAATTTAATAAAGCGTAGACGTTTAATACCTTTCAACTGAAGAACAGGCTCGAACGAGTTAATGTATACTCGCGTTACATCAATATATAAATAATACTAGATTTGCCCATGGTTTCGCTTGCGTGATATGTAGGTACTTTTGGTTTGGGAGCGTTTTGAAAACTATTTATACTAACTTAAAATTAAATTAAAAAATAATATGAAACTAAATTAGACACATGTAACCGATTTGAGGCTCCTTTTTTGTATGAATACATTCTCGGCCAGCGGAAGCCGGGTGGGCCGACCAGACGCTGAGTTTGTGTCTCTTTTATTCTATGTAAATCTTAATCTAGAGTGAATGGACGAGGTGTAACCATAACTAGATTGTTAAAGCGTTTATGCATTATTTTATAATTTCAAAAAGCTGTTATTTCCTTAATTTTTATATTAATAGTTAGCAGTTAAATAAATCAGTGCGAGTGTGTTGCTCGAAGCCTTATTTTCAATACTTATTTTATTTGAAACACTAAAGCTTGTCAATAGCTATTAAAAGAAAAACCAAATCGAGTTACAAACAGAGAACAAAAAGGGGCGTTGAACTGTTTTGTCTTTGCCTTTTTTATATATTTTATTTATAAGGTTTTGCTTTTAAAATTTAATATAATCCATACTAATATATAATACATAAATACATAACATATATAAATGCATAAGATATAATATATAAATGCGTAAGTAATTCCGTCTGTCTGTCCGTCACTTTTTCTTGCCTAATCCGCTGAACCGTTTTAGATGAAATTTGGTATGAAAATATTTCGAGATCCCGGGAATGACATAGGATAGTTTTCATCCCGGAAAACTTATAATAATCAAAATCTATAAATAAGGGAGTGAAAAGGAGGGTGCAAGATATAATGAAAAATCAATCATTTCTCAAGTAAGGGATAGGTATATATATTTTTTATTTTTCATAATGCTTACCTACTTTTCTATATCTATGTATGTACATTGTACAGGTATATATAGGTAGTCTATTCTGTGCTTACCGTTAAAACGTACCTGGGTACGAACCAAAGCGAAGCGAGGGTAAGTCGCTAGTATGTAATAAAGTCATCAAAGCAATAAAACTTTTGCGTTATTACCAATATTCCATACTAATATTATAAATGTGAAAGTGTGTTTATTTGTTTGTTTGTTTGTTTGTTTGTTTGTTTGTTTGTTTGTTTGTTTGTTTGTCCTTCTTTAACGTTGAAACGGAGTGACGGATTGGCGTGTTTTTTTGTGTGCAGATAGTCAAAGCGCTGGAGAGTGACATAGGCTATTTTGTACCGCTGGAGGATATCTCATTTCGACGGGAAAATACGTTACAATACAACCCAAAAAAAAATATGATCAAAATTACTTGAAACTTGGTATTAATGGTCTTCAACATAATTAAATAAATACGTGTTTTAGCATTTTTTGAAATTCATACCACAAGGAGGTAAAATAGGGGATGAAAGTTTGTATGAAACCTATCTTTATAGAGTTTTTTATAGTTTTAGCGCAAGCGAAGCCGCGGGTTCGGCTAGTATACTTATATTTTTATTTAGACAAAATTATGTTATGTGAGATATTTGAGTAAATTATCTTATGGAAATTATATTGTGTCCTTAAAAGGTTTGTGCCATCATTTTCTCTGAAGCATTATAGCTTTAGTAGACTGTATTCAAATTTTTATAGTGCGTATTTCAGGCTTCGTATTTATTTCATTTATTGCACAACATATTTTGTATGCATTATGTGGACGTGTTGATTTATCTATACATAATATATAATAAAATGGTAACTAAGCCGAATCTGTACATAAAATATTTTTTGTGAAATCTTATTGAAATAAACATTATTATCGATACAGAGGCCGAATCTATAGTTTTTAGAATTTTTGTCTGTCTGTCTGTCGGTAACCGCATCACAGAAAAACCACTGGAGAGATTTTGATGAAATTTGTTATGATGATGATGATGATAGACGGTTATACGGGTCAACATATAGGATACTTTTTACCGCGGGAAAATGTCTCATTTCTGAGAAAAAGTACAAAAACTGCAATGTAAGAATTTGGTTTTTAGTCATCTGAACGCGAGCGGAGCCGCAGGCAACGCTAGTCTTACAATAAATTCTAAGCTTGGCATATTCAAGGATTAAAATAGTTTAGAGGTTATTACTATTAGATATATACATAAAAGACGAAGGAGTCGATTATATTTTAGAACAGCGATAATATTATTTCAATTCGAGAAAAGCAAAATACTATAGAAATTTAATCAAAATTAAATGTTCCCAAAACGTGTATCAGAATAAATTCAGATAAAGTTCACTATATGAAATATAATACAAAGACTATTAAAGGATACACTGAAGGTCTAAAATATTAACCCTCCAGTGTCTTGAAAAACGATGTTCTCATACCTACAGCCGTTACGGTGGTTTCGCTATAATGTTACATAACAAAGGCCTTTTAACTTGATGTATTGTATTTTTAAAGAATACGTGAAAGTACGGGAATTTGATATTTTTACAACAATGGCCGTCTATTCCTCATAGAGACAATGATGTCAGAGTCGCCTGTTCATTCGTTTTGTTCATTTACGCACAATTTTATTCCTTATTATATAATATATTATATTATAATAAATGCTATAATTTTTTGTTTTATACTTTTATCGGTATTAATAATATTTAAAAAATAATAATTCCAAAAAACATAATATATTATAATATTAAAAGAGCAATTCTTGTACATAGATAAAGTTATTTCGTGTACCTCGCAAACGGCTGTAACGATTTGGATGAAATTTCGTCTTTTGAAAATATTTTGCTTTTTAAGTTTATCTACATATGTGTCTTTTCTGAAGAAACGTTATTTTTATAATATCTTTTGCGAAAAACGAAGGGAGCGAAACTTGGTCCTTGGCCCAGGTACTCCTTAGAATACTCGTAAGAACAGTAAAACGGTAAAACTATGGTAAGATTCCTCATTGAAGTCGATGAATTAAAATTCTTATTCGAAATGTTCATTTAAATGCTTCTCAAAACCAAAACTTAACAAACATAAGACATATTTGACGAAACACTTTAGTTTGATTTTCAAATTTGTTAACGTAAATATTAACTCGCTAAACATTTACTTCGTCTTGTTTCTACCAGCATTATGAGGTTTATCTTCTTAAGTACTAAGTTTTAAGTAATATGCTAAATACTTGTGCTTCGTGCAATATTTCGTTAACATTTATATTATGTTTGCTGTAATACTGAAATTAGAATCACGTGTACATTTTATTTTCAGTGTTGAATTAAATAATTTTATATGCACAAAAAGATTCAAAGACTTTCAAAATCAACTTAAAGATTAAAGGGTGGTGTTTGAGCTTGTAGTCCTCTTCAGGTGTTTTTTTTTTTGAAATTTACATTTCACCACCCTTGCGCATATTTATTAAAAAAAGAAACATATAGGTAAATTGAATCCAACTAATGGTATTCCAACTGGTCACAAATATCTAACTAAAGGTTTAAAAGGTGTTGCGTAACATACATAATACAGTGAGTTGAAGTCGGTCAATAAAAACGAAATTGTTAGCTACTAGAGATCCACTCGCACTTTATGGCTCAAAGCCTATGCGATTAGCTAATAAATACCTAACGAAATTCATTTGACACAGGGATAAATAGTAACTCATGCTTTTTTCAGGGCTACAAATATTTTATTTTTTTTACTAATTAATAGGGAAGTAAAGATCGAAAGGGTTTTCATCCACTTTAAAGTACTACGTGTATATGTTGTGCATATTTTATTGAAGTTATACTTCTTTTGGCACGTTTGGAAAAAAATATGAGTGTAAAGTTTTTACGATGCGTGCGCACCGACAGCCAAAAAGCGACATGATGAAGTTAGCTGCACTCCTTTTACAAACAGAGAGTTGTGACA